TCTCTCTCTCTCTCAGATTTTTAAGTAGAACATGAATTGAGCAGTGGATCCCAAAGTGGAAGGTATATACCTTGGTAGAGAGTTCATTGGAAAGTAAGAACAAAATACTATTTCATACATGGTTTAAAATTGTGTCGTATCTTAAAATAGCTGTAGATGTATGAGATTTGTAAATATTCTTATATTAAGAATATTTGTAAATATTCTTAAATATTGAAGGTTTTTGTTTTTACACAAATAGGATGGAAGAATCATAAAATCTGAGGGGCAACTATTACAGATACATGAATTCAAATATACTTTTTATAGTTGTGTGTGTGCATGCGAGATGGGGTCTTGTTCTGTTGCCTAGGCTGGCCTTTAACCCCTGCAGTTCAAGTGATCCTCCTGCTTCAGCCTCCCAGGGCTGCAGACCATAGTCAGCAGGCACCACCACAGCCAGCCAACTGTGTAGTTCTTAATCCTATGTGTTGTGACCAATCTGATAGAAATTTCTTAAAATTACTTTGCTAATGAAATTGAAGATAATCTTGAATTTTAGCCCACATGAGTTCCAGGGAAAGAGCAATGAATCAGGTGCCAGACTTGTCTTTTTGTCATACTTCTGCTAATTACTAATGGTGAAACTTTGGCAAGTTCCTTAGTGGACCCCATTTCACTTCTCATATGGGCATTATCACCTGCAGTATTGTGAGTTTTCATTGTGCAGAATGAAAGTGGTAAGTATGATCCATGCAGTGACCACAGGAAGTTAGTCATTTGTGTGTCTTAAGCAACCTGTGGTTAAGTAAAATATTTACTTTTCTCCAGTCTTTGTGTTTGTTGGGTCTCCTCTCCATACCCCACCCTACCTGTTGCTTTTAATTGCTTTCTGTCCTTCTGCATGTTCTTAACCTTCAAAGGTAAAGGTCTTTGCTGAAGACTAGATCAGTCAGGGGTCTCTGTGACGCTACCCAGCCACCATTGCAGTATGCACCGTGTCCTTCCTGCTGCCTTTGTTACAACACTGTTCACGTGTTGTGATGAAGTTGCAACCGTATGAAAATCAGCTTACCCCAATTCCTGGCTGCCATTGCGGAAGCTGTGAAGCTAGGTTAGCGGGCATTTTAACGGTTTCTCTTTGACATAAGTATGATGATTTTTATGCCTGTTGGCATCTTTGGGGATGTGAATCTTTGCTTAACGTCAAAGCATGAAGGGAAGTAGATCTAAAGAGGGATGGAAAGAGGTTATGAAGAGCTGTGTTAAAGAATCAACTCACATGCTTTGGTAAGATTTCCTTCTCTGATCACTTGCTTTTGTTTAGAAGTAGACATACTTAGCAAGATATCATAAAAATTGATTACAATGTATTTCATTGGTGAGGATATGGAGAAAAGGGGATCCCTTGTACACTGTTGAGGGGAATGTGACTTAGTGCATCTGTTATGGACTATGAAGTTCTCCTCACAAAATTGAAAATAAAACTACCAAACGATCTAGCAGTGATTCTAGATATATATATCTGAAGAGAATGAAATCAGTATTGCCAGAGACATCTGCGCTCCCATGTTCACTGCAGCAGTATTCACAGTAGCCAATATAAGGAATCAACCTAAGTGTCCATCAACAAATGAATGAATAAAAACAACTTAGGATATATACAGTGTGGAATGCTGTTTGGCCTTAAAAAAGAAGGATATCTGTCATTTGTGACATGAGTAACCCTGGAGGACATTATGCCTAATGAAAAAAACTGACAGAAACACAAATACTACATGATGCCACTCATGTGTAGAATCTTTAAAACCTTGAACAGGTTACCAGGGGCAGAGGGAGGGAAAGGAATTGGGGAGATTCTGATCAAAAAGTACAAAACTTGCCTGGGGATACAGCTCAGTTGGCAGAGTGCTTGTCTTCCATGCACAAGGCCCTGGGTTCAATCCCCAGCACAACAACAAGAGTACAAAATTTTAGTTAGAAGGAATGAATTCCAGAGATTTGTTATATACCCAGGTGACTATAATTAACAACAGTGTATAATTGCTAAGGGAAGATTTTAAATGTTCTCCCCACATGTATAAAAAATAGTGAGAAGGCATATATTAGCTCAAGGTCGACATTTCATGATGTATACATATTTCAAAACATCATCTTGTACACCATAAATATATGCAATTTTTTGTCAATTAATTTAACATGTAACACGTGAGTTCCATGTGGCACATGCTTGTAATCCTCAGCAACTCAGGAAGCCAAGGCAGGATGATCACAAGTTCTAGGCCAGCCTGGGCAATATACCAAGATCCCGTCTGAAAACAAAAATAAAAAGGGCCGGGGATACACACAACAAAATTAATTATTTATTAATTTAAAAGTGAATTTTATCCCTTATTCTCAATACTTTTTTTGTGATTTCTGTTCCATCATATCTTTTATTCTAAGGAGGTGGTTAGCATGCATTTCAGGCCACATCTTGAATTTCCTCTTAAAAATGATATCTCTTCTTGAATTCCTTTCTTGGGCAACAGAAATAACCAACATAACCATGTTTAGGTGCCATTCATGAGTTTGCTCGTTCTCTCATTAAAACACTGAAAGACCCAATGACATTCCTCATAGAAATAGAAAAAGCAATCATGAAATTCATCTGGAAAAATAAGATACCCGGAATAGCTAAAGCAATCCTAAGCAAGAAGAGTGAAGCAGGTGGCATCACTATACCAGACTTTAACTATACTACAGAGCTATAGTAACAAAAACAGCATAGCATTGGCACCTAAATAGACTTGTAGACCAATGGTTCAGAATAGAGGACACAGAGACAAACCCACATAAATATAGTTATTTTATATTAGAGAAAAGTGCCAAAAAGCATACATTGGAGAAAAGATAGCCTCTTCAACAAATGGTGCTGGGAAAACTAGAAATCTGTATGCAACAAAGTGAAATTAAACCCCTATCTCTCACCATGCACAAAACAGAGCAGAACAAGTACCTGCTTCTGAAAATTGCCTTTTGTGAGGAATTCTGTTTTTACTCAAGGCATTTAGGTCAATTCCATATATCTGAAGCATGCAAATAATGTCATTCTCTTTTAACTATTGACTTTAGTCTGTTAAAAAAATAAAATAATAAAATGCTGGGATTACTTGCCATTGAGATAGTACATTTTTCATGTGGTTTCACATCTATATTCATCTCCCCCTGCACACTCCACAAATAATAGGTGGTGTGCAGAAAATTAAGAGAACAAACCATGACTTATATAGCTTTATCTTCTAGGAAATAATGAGGTTGGACTAAGGTTGGAACTACTAAGGGAAAGCCAATAACAACAACAAAATGTTACAAACAAAGATATTTACTAATGTATATTTTATAATAGTGAAAACCTGGAAATAAATTTGTATCCATAGGGTCTGGCTAAGTAAATACTGTATACTATAGAAAATGATAAAGCAGTTACGAAGAATAAGTTATACCCTTTAGAGCCACTATTGAGAAAAACAGAAGGCAAGTTATAGAACATATCCAGTATGATCTTGTGTATGTTCTTAAAATAAAACAGATCTTTGGATCTGACTTAAGTATGCTAATCCATAGAAAAGGGTCAGGAAGAAATAAAATGGTTAATAATGTTATTTCTGAGAATGATGTAGGGTTGGTGGGGCTGGGTGTGATGGAAGCTCTTCCCTTTTTGCTCTAGGTCTCTGTATTTGGGGTTTTTTATGAAGACATAATCATGGTTTCCTTTTATAATTACAAAGTCTGAAAATACTGGAGAGAAATTGGAACACCAGGCAGAAATTGAGGTCAGGAGAAGGAAGATGAGGCACTTTGGGATAGTGGATTCTGGCAATTGACATAGGTGCCCTCATCCTCTGATATTCTGTGAAATGGTGACTTGGGGCTTGACATAGGTGCCCTCATCCTGTGATATTTTGCAAATGGTGACTTGGGGCTTGTGCAATGTTTTCAGGAGATATATATGTATTTGTGTGTGCATGTGTGTATGTGTATATATACACAAATATGTGTGTGTGTGTGTGTGTGTGTATCTTTATCTGTATTACTCCAAAAGGAATGATCTAGAATACAGGGTTTGCAAATAAAGAAAACCCAAGAACTTTTAAGAACAATTTTCATATGTAGTTTCCTCTGGGATATTTAATCTGTTATCCATATAAGCATTGGATAAGAAAAAATTCATATCTGTAGGAAGCATGGATTCACTTCTATCCCTGTATGAATAATTCTTTTTTTAAAAAATGTGTTAATTTTTTTCTGTTTTTACTTTATTTTAACTTTTATTTAATTGTAGATGGACATAATACCTTTATTTATTTTTATGTGGTGCTGAGGCTTGAACCCAGTGCCTCACACATGCCAGGCAAGCACTACTGTACCACTGAGTTACAACCCCAGCCCTGTATGAATAATTTTTTCCCAATAATAGAAGAGTTGTTTCTACACAGAGATCTTCTGTCTACTGACTTAATTTCCACTCTGGTGGATGGTGTCATTTTGTCTGTAAATGTTAACTGAGCCCTGTAAGCAACTCTAGGTGTGGGAGATGCAAACTGGTGGAGAACAGACAAGGCCTTTGCTCTGTTGGAGCTTCCCGTCAGGCAGGGGCAGAGGTGAGAAAAGACAGGAAGTGAGTCCTCCTGTGATGTGAACTAGACAGGGTGATGTGATGGGGAGAGAACAGGGAAATGCCTTTACATTGGCAGTTAGGAAAGACTTCTCTGAGGAAGTAAATTCAGAAACCATGGCATGCATGACAAGAGAGACCCAGATGTGAGTAATCATTTGGAGGAGGAGCATTTCAGGCAGAGGGAACTAGAGTCGTGTGTCTCTGGGGTTCCAGAGCTTGCTGTGTGGTTAGGACTTACGGAGACTCGGTGAAGATATGTGAAAGTGGTCTGCAGGGACAGAATTATGTCAAGTCTTAAGGATGAGGTAAGGAGTATGATTTTGACCCAGATTTGATGGGAGGCTACTGGGGAATTTTATTTAGGGAAAGGAGCTGCCGGTGTAGATTTATGAAAGATCTCTCTGAATACCTTTAGCTATAGATGGGCAAGAGGAGAAGCAGGAAAGCCCAGTGGGCAGTATGGCTGGATGTCCAGGTGGAAGAAGAGTAACAGAAGAAGGTGGGAGCATAGCTGATGGATTGCAGTTGGAGACCTAGCAGAGAGGAGAATCACAAGTGGGGCGTGTGTTTCCTGGGATGAGGAAAGCAGGGAGGAGCAGATTTTGGGGGGTGAATCAGTTTTATCGAGTTGAGATACCCTGGACAGATGTCAAGTAGGCAGTGGGATATGCCAGCCTGGAGTGGAGTGGAGATGGATGTAGTGTTGGTATTTAATGCCCTGGAATTGACCCACCACTCGGCGTGTGCTATACCACCCTTCATTTGGACTAGACTTATCTAGACCTACTCCTTTTGTCTCTAGGCTTTTCCTTTGCTGGAGTTACTTTTGCTGTTGAAGGTTGTTTTAACTTCACAATGCCAAGGACGGTGGGAAAACAGTAAAGAGAAACAGTTTGCCAGACCTGTGATTAAAGTGACAGGAGTGCTTCTTATTTGTGCCGTTCTCTAAGTTTTATTCATCAGATCATTTACTGAAGCTAAACACTGAGCTTAAAAGTGAGCAGTAAGCTGGGCACTGTGGCACACGTCTGTGATCCCAGCGGCTCTGGAGGCTGAGGCAGGAGGATGGTGAGTTCAAAGCTGGCCTCAGCAAAAGCAAGGCACTAATCAACTTATTGAGACCCTGTCTCTAAATAAAATACAAAATAGGGTTGGGGATGTGGCTCAGTGGCTCAGTGACCTTGAGCTCAATCCCCAGTACCGAAGAAAAAAAGTGAGCAGTAGTTTTCTTATTTTTGTTATTGGAATAATTTTGATATGGAGTTTATTTTTACACTTTTTTGGGTTGATCTTTGTTGCTGCTTCAATTATTTTTATGGTTTACAAAATTTGCAAACCAGTGTCAAGCCCTACAGGTTTGCTATAAATTTTATGGCTGATTTATTTAGTATTTTTTTTTTTTTTACTTTGAGGAATTTACCTTGTTGTATAGAGCAAAGCACAAACTTAAATTTTTGGTTTTTGTCTCCTTACAATACATGAAATCAAAACTGATCAAACTCTTACTTCTTATCTTGAATGATTCTTGCTCATTGCAGGCGAGCTCTTCAGACCTCCAGCTGGCCATGTGGTGAGTTCAGAGAACTGATCAGGGCGTACCACAGTCATCAGAGGACTCCTGTCTGTTCTGAACTGATTCACACCAGCTTCAAGCCTGGAAGGATGGTGTCACAGTCAGTAGGCCGGCGGGATTCTCCTGCGGACCTCTGGGAAGGGATCAGTCATGACACTGGCAGCTCACCCAGTATCCTGGACACTGACCACCGTCTTTGCCAAGTAGACATCAGGGTCACGAGGCACAAAGCTGCCTGGATTAACCCCCTGTGTGTGCAGCAGCAAATGCCGGATTTACCCCTCCAGGTGCCAAAAGTGGGGACTAGGGGGAACCATTTTGTGATGGATGCTGCCTCCCCCTTGGGCCCTTCACCATCGTCTCTTGGGGGTCCCATGGCAGAGACCTCATTGTCTGAGAATTCTGTGGCCTCCAAGGGTTCAGGTGAAAAGAACAGTCACTTCTTCACCTCCACAGAAGAGTCTGAGTTGTTCCCAGCACCTTCTCAGCGAGTGTCTCTGCTCAAGAGCCCTGAGATTTTGGCCTCTTCCCCGTGTCCTGAAACTGACAGTGCTGTTTTTGAGTCTTCCCACTTGACTGCTTCTGCTGATGAAGGTATTTAGTCTGTGACTTCCCTTATTCCCATCTGCTCACATGCTTGCTTCGTCTGGGTCAAAAGTCTGTCTGATGTCTTCCTTATAAGAAAAAAGTTCATGGGCTTCCACTTTGACCAGAAGCTGGTGCATTAGCTTTTTTGACATTATCACCAGCATAGTCACCTGCATGGTCACAACAGGAGGATCAAGTATTTGCTTTCTTCTTAGTCATTTACAGCTTATTAAATTGTCTGCAAGTCAACTGTACTCTCAACTCAGTGTGGAGTGCTTATTTTATTTTTAAATATTCATTATATTATGTTCATGCTTGGCCTTATGTTTCTATTAGAACCATAGTGCAAATAGTCAGTGGAGTGTTTTCCTTTAAAATAATTTTAAAGCCTGTTTGTCTGCCTGCTGCCTGCATGCCTGTTTGTATATTTCTCCCTAACAGGAACCCATTTTCCACCTTTCTTAAGAGTTGGGGTTTATTTGTTCTATTGGAAATGTTGGAAAAATCAAAGATGATGACGATCTTTAACATATCACTCTTAACTTAAGAATATGATTTTGAATAGTTTTCAATGTCTAGTTTTGAGATGAAAATCAAATTTGAACAAAATAATATAGGCCTTTTTTCTATCTTCTGCCCACCTGCCTGGATAGTTCTCAGGATAGAGATTTGCGGATTTGGGGATTGCAAAGTAAGAGTTTAGGTTGCTGATACAGTATCTTATGGAGGCAGGCCCTTTCTCCCCAAAATATCACAGTGACAAATTACAAAGTATAACTGACTGAAGAAGATCTTTAGGGCCTAGTATACTCCTGCCCCAAATCATTTGTTGCATCCCTCTACACAAGGTAGTTCTACAACTTAAAATTATCTTGTATTCTTGTCTTTCTCCTGAGAAAAATGGAGATGCTACAATCCCTTTTATTCAAACATTGCTTTTGTCCAGCAGTTCTTCCCAGTGACTCTAAAAACCATTCAGTGCTTTTAGAGTCTCTTAAACTTGGTAAAGGGTTTCATTCTCTGGAACTAAGAAGGAGAAATCCAGATGACCTGGTTCTTAACTCCATTTAGTATTGGGCAGCAAGGAGGAAAACAAGCATCAATCACCAGGACATGGACATTCTTAGGACCAGTGCATCTCAAATAACAGCAAGGGAGTTTTCTCTTTCCAGGAAATACCTGAGCATTTCCTGAGGCTATAGGAAAGAATGTCCCACTTTATTTTATTTGCATAAGATCTGCACATGTAGAGAAACCTTCACATTTTTTTCTTCTTAATGTTCTAATAGGTGTTAATCCCAGTTTAAGGGATGAGAAAATGCATGGCTGAGGCATAGCTAGTGAATAGAGAGCTGGAACTGGAATCCACTCTGATTCTTCTCTGTGCTGCTGCTTCTATATGTAGGGTATGCACCTGTGGGTTAAATTCTGCTGCCTCTTCCATCCGGCCCCCACCTTCTTCTTCTTCTTCTTCTTCCTCTTCCTCTTCTTTCTCTTCTTCTTCCTCCTCCTCCTCTTCTTCCTCCTCCTCCTCTTCTTCCTCCTCTCTTCCTCCTCTTCTTCCTCCTCTT